AATGACATGAGGGTGAGAAATTAATGACAGAATTTTCATTTTTGGATGAACTATCCCTTTAAACATCTTCACACCAAGAAAGTGATTTACCAAATAGGTGAAATTGCACTTTTTCAAGCTATTCTATTTCAATATTTAAGGGAAAATGTTTAAATAAAGACTATAAGAGAAGCTTAATAGTTGTGATGTGGAAGTCAGGCGACCATTGTGTAGTTTGTTTATAGCCTACATTTAGCTTTTTACTTCTGGGGAATGTATTTAGGCTTTAAAATTCATAAGTCGTGTTCATTTGTGAAGATTTTCAGGATGAACAAAACGTAAGAATCAACCGTTTGTTGGTCACAGAGCTTATTTTCTGCAATGATCCAAAATCCAATGGGAAAATCCTATTAGGGTTTTGTCAAGGGAAACAGGGTGAAACTAATATCTGTTGGCCTACCAAAATCCATCATCACTGCAGCACTCAATTCTAGATATTTTTTTCTTTCTGATGGAGTTGGGGCATCTGAGTGCCTCATAATGAACAGTCATTGCAAGTTCAGTAATGATCAGTCATGAAAAATAATTGTGTTTATTTGATCAAAATGATGAGTGTTCATTTGTAGCTTGTACTCAAAGGCAGCAGTTGTTTGTATTCTGTCTGTTCATTTCTCAGTTATATTATTCCATAAAGGCCATTTTACATGACTCACGTCGACGGTCCTCAAATGCAGCAAACTCTTAGGAGCGATGCACAGTTCAAACGCTGTAACGTGACGTGCTCAGTTTGCTGCTGACCTTGCAAAGTGTCGACAATGATTACTGGACAGTTCACCTGACATAAGGAAAATCCAAATGGAAGAGAGACTGAATGATATATCGTCAAAGCAATTTTATGACATTCTGAAAGTGATTTATGACCAAAAAAAGACAAAAAAGACTAAAAGAAAGGTTTTGTTTGCTTTAGAGATGAACCAGTATTAAAATTCTTATAATAATTATAATTTGATCAATACTAATTTGTTTAAAGGGGTCATATGATGCGATTTCAAGTTTTCCTTTCTCTTTGGAGTGTTACAAGCTGTTCGTGAATAGATAAGATCCCTGAAGTTGCAAAGACTAAAATCTCAAAACCAAAGAGATATTCTTTATCAAAGTTAAGACTCTGCCACGCCCCCCTAAAACGGCTCGTTCTAACACGCCCCACATATCTAGGTCATGATGTGGGAATATTTGCATAATGCGCCCAAATGTTCACGCAAAGAAAGAAGGTGTGGTTTCAGTAACCGCAGTTAGTGTTGAAGCAGCATGTCAGGGAGACGCTGTGTGTTTCTAGGCGAAAGCAAAAGCACTTTATTTGGCCTTCCGAAAGTAGATGCATTTAGGAATATTTAAGATTACTTACAACAGAACAGCAATGCATTTTATGGACGACCGTTTCGTGAACCTAGGAGAGGAGGTAATTCTGACTTTGCTATGACAATCTGCCGCTTCTGAATCAGCTACTGTTTTGTTATTAGTTTAAGTATTTGCTATTGACTGTTCAAATGTGGAGTTTTGCGCATCGTGTGTGTGTGTGCATGCGCGCGCGCGCGTGTGTGTGTGTGAGAGAGAGAGACAGCGTCACATCACAGTAGAGTCAGCTGTCTTAACCGCGGCTTGTGTACTGCATCATTACTGTGTCTGTTCCCCTTTCGGGCTTGAACTGATGGTCTTTAAAAAAGCATCATATGACCCCTTTAAAAGAATATAAAAAACCACTAAAACACTAAACACTAAAAATAATCTCACATTGCACATTGACTAACACATTTTACGGGCAAATTAATAAAATAAGTTTGTTTTGTTGAGAAAAAAAATCATATAAACGTATGAGGTGGCAAGGGGGGCCTTTTAACCCATAGTTGACACAAAAGGCCCCCAGTATTGATATAAATACTTCAGTTAGAGTAATATGTTTTGCATTAAGCTTAACTCAATACAACCACTTCAACAAATATTTTACCATATTCTGTTTTTATATATATATAAAACAATTAGATTTAATTCAATAAATAGGCTGTAAGTAAAATTAGATAATTTTAAAAATAAAGAAAAATTTAATTAAAAAATACAGATTCTGAAAGCTTCTTAGAGTTTTTGAAAGAGACCTCAGTAATTAAATATGGCTTTACAGAAACAATAAATTATATTTTATATGATTAATATAATTTTTAAATAGGATGGTTTCATTATAAATTTGGTGATTATCTCTAACTTAATAAAGGAGATTGACCATTTAAATCTAACCATGTCAGCAAATGAAAAAGTCAGATATTTATTATCATGTCAATTGTTGTGCCTTTAGCCCCAGCAATGGGACACGTTTTACCCCCCAAAAAACTGTACTTTTACATATTCTTCAGTTGATTTGATTACTTGATTTACAAAACTGAAAATTATTAAGCAGACCTTTGTCTCCAAATATATTTGGAAACTTTATAATTCTCATTTGCAGCATTTTCAACTAAAAAATACAGATTCTGAAAGCTTCTTAGAGTTTTTGAAAGAGACCTCAGTAATTAAATATGGCTTTACAGAAACAATAAATTATATTTTATATGATTAATATAATTTTTAAATAGGATGGTTTCATTATAAATTTGGTGATTATCTCTAACTTAATAAAGGAGATTGACCATTTAAATCTAACCATGTCAGCAAATGAAAAAGTCAGATATTTATTATCATGTCAATGGTTGTGCCTTTAGCCCCAGAAATGGGACACTTTTTACCCCCCAAAAAACTGTACTTTTACATATTCTTCAGTTGATTTGATTACTTGATTTACAAAACTGAAAATTATTAAGCAGACCTTTGTCTCCAAATATATTTGGAAACTTTATAATTCTCATTTGCAGCATTTTCAACAATTCTCATTTGACCATTGTAAATAACATTCAATATTAGATCAACTCGTTGCTGTCAGACCAGCCACATTTTCGAGGTGCATAGTGAACCTCGGCTGTTTAGAAGTGCTGTTGTCAGTTTTTTTGCCATCTAGTGGTTCAGAAGAAAAACTTGAGTCTTTTACCCCTAGTCTATAATATAAAGGCAGAAATCCCCAAATTTGGCCGTCTATGACACTATCTGCTGCACTTTTCATGTGTAGGTCAAAGCAGCGTATTACGCTTGTGTTGAGAGGAACATTGAAGCCCTGATGGGAGTCTGAAAGAACCTTAAGGCAGACCTAAATGTATAAAGCAGCCGGTAAACACTTTGCTGTCCATCCAGTGGCGAAAGATCTGCAATACTGGGGCGCTTTCACCGCAAGCAAACATTCAGATCTTTGAAGGGTCTGTCGGCTTTCATCTGTGCCCGTCTTTTTCTCTGCTTCACAAACACCCACACATTTGTCATCCCGGCTTCATAAACGATTCCTATTTTTCACTCTGCTCTCTAAAACGCCTCCGTTCCAGGCATCATTTATAACCGTGTGCCTTTGAGGGTGATGGTTTAAATTTTAGGTTGTTTCTGTCTCGGTTTGCTGCTTGTCTCGCCTTTTTTCCCCCCTCAAACTCATTTTTCACAATTTTCAGTCTGTGATCTCTAGGCTCTGCTACTAACTAGTTAACAGTTGAAGTTGGTTGACTCAGAGGAAATTGACCGATTCTACCCCTTCCCTAGAGAACTCACTCGTAGCTAGTTCTCTGTGCAGTATAAACTGTATTAGTGTGTATCTCCTGATTAATGGCTTCATGATGTGCGTTTCAGGGGACATCAGGACCGGACCCGACTACTGTGTACGTGGACATGAGAGCTCTCCGACACGACAGGTGAGAGATTTATTAATGACAGACTTCACTGAGAAATCAAACTGGAGAACTATGCAAAATAATGATAATGGAAATGAGTCCAGTGAGCTGTGATTGGAGCACTGGTCAACAATACAGGTTTTCCATTGAACAGTGTTGCTGGTGATATTTGGAGAGTATAGTGAATTATGTCTGATAAAATGTTGCAATAAATGATATAATTTTTCATATAATAGCAAATTAGGTGTACTTTTTTGTCTTTATGTTGTTGTGTTGCATAATGTAAAGCTGCCAGACATTTCTTGTTAATTATCTTTTTGTTTGGTTTATGTGCATTAAGCAAATAAAGAAAATAATAAAATTAGAGGAAGTACCTTTCAAGTATTTAATTCACTGAATTTCCCAAAAATGGGAATTACCCCATAATTATGAAGTATAAACAATTTAGTTGTTGAACTTCCATTATAATGTATTTACTTGTTGAATTCATTCATATTTCATATTCATATTTATTTTGTTACATTTAGCTTATTTGTTGAATTTCCATCAAATATACTTTGTGATATGTTACATTTTCCAAGCATTGTGAGAAATATTAAGTGTGATATTATAAAGGTAACATGTTTTTTTACTGAAGAATTTAAAATATTATGCTGAGAATATTTACTTCAAGTCAACAACGTATCTTTTTAAACCCTAACCTTAATTAATGTTAATTGTGTAAACTTAAACTTTTTTACTTTTCAAAAGTGTTTGTTGGTAGAATACAATAACCACAAATAAAGTCGTGATTTCTGACCTGCGATTGTAATAATGTGGAATTTAGTAAATCTGTTACTTTATTTAATATCTTAAGTTAATTTGTTAAGTAGATATTCGATAAGGCCTACTTTGTAAAATCTTTTAATTAATTCTCACAATAATAATCAAATAAAATCTCAAAATAATAAAATAATAATAATAAAAATAAAATAATTTTTTACAAGCTTTTCAAAAGACAATAGTTAAAAAAACTGGCACATGCAAATCATTGTGATTGTTGTATATCTGCACCTTTGTTTTGTACTGTATGCATATGCGTTTTTCTCTAGTGTTATTTTGGTCATGTTCACTCTGAAAATCTAATTTTATTTACTCAGGAGTGTCGGAATGTGTTTTTGAAAATGTCATTAGTCATGTCCACGTGTTGATGAGCTGATAATTGATTATTTGTCAGGAAAGCAACAGTGTGCTTGTTTTTCTTCAGAGTGCGGCTGGTCGAGAGAGGCTCCCCACACAGTCTCCCGCTCATGGAGTCTGGAAAGGTACCTGCAGGGCGCCTTACAACAGTTTTAGTTCGACTCCATCTGCCTGTGTGTTTTGAAATGATTACATTACTGAATATCAATTTCATCCTCTACCAGATTTTACCCGGAGTTCGAATCATCATCGCCAATCCTGAAACCAAGGGCCCGCTGGGAGACTCCCATCTAGGGGAGGTGAGTTCGTATTGCAGGATAAAGATCAAGGCCGAAATCATCTGTGGCTCTTTTTGTCTTCATGTGTTCCTGGTCTGTTTTGTGTCTCTAGATCTGGGTTCACTGCACCCATAACGGCAGCGGTTACTTCACGGTGTACGGCGATGAGGCCCTGCAATCTGATCACTTCAACTCACACTTGAGCTTTGGAGATACGCAGACCGTATGGGCGCGTACCGGCTACCTGGGCTTCCTCCGCAGGACCGAACTCACAGATGCAAGTGGAGGTGATTATGCATGTTTTGTCCTGTTTATTTTGTTTTTAACTGGTAGTCTAAGAAGGATACTAAGATCTGCTGTGTTTCCAGAGCGGCATGACGCTCTGTATGTAGTGGGCGCTCTGGATGAAGCCATGGAGCTGAGAGGAATGAGGTATCACCCCATCGACATAGAGACCTCTGTGATACGCACCCACAAGAGCATCATGGAATGGTACGACCTTCTCGCTTCCAATCCAAGTACCTTTTTTCATTTGATTTTTTCAGGCATGTACTGATATTAAAATGTGGCCATTTATTTATGTAGATTAAGATTTATACTATTATGTATAAATGAAAAATAAAACACTTAAAACTAAACTCAGTGAAATGTATTTTGATATTCAGAGTTCTATAATTTTATTTAAATAAATGAAAAAACATTTTTTTGGCAAAATGATTATTTGAAAATTATTATATTATTTATTTTGATACTAAAATGTATATTATCGATACTATTTCATCTAAAATGAAAAAAATGTAACTAATTTATTATTAAAATGTTTATTTATGATTATTATAATGTATATTCATACTATTTTATCTAAATAAAACAAACAAATAAAATCTGTCAAACTGATTGTTTTGATATTTAAATTTTCTCTAAATAAATTGTCTAAAACATTTATTAAAAATTAAATTTAAATTAATTTATTTTGATATTAAATTGTATACTAATTATACTATTTTGTCTAAATGAAAAATTCTAACTAAATTCAAATTCATTTTGATTATTCAAATGTGCACTCTTTATACTTTATTTGTCTATATAAATGAAAATACAACACTTAAAACTACAATCAAATTAATTTATGGAAGTGAAGTGAAATTAATTGATGTACTTTTTTGATATTAAAATGTATACTATCTATACGATTATGTCTAAACAAATTAAATAAAATACTCAAAAAATAAATTAATCATTTTAAATTCTACAAGTGAACTTGGCCATCATAATGTTACGATTTACAGTATTAAAAATGTATATTGCTTTTTTAGATTGTTAAAGATTAAGACATTTAAATGTATTATATTTTTTTAATACAATTTAATACATAAAACTTGCCACCATCAAGAATTACAAGGCATTTTATCAGTGAAATCTCAATCAGCAGTTGTATTTTAAGCATCACTTATGTTCTGATTGGTTAAGATATGTTTTGTCATCTCAAATGATCAGTTGTCATTGAAGATAAATTACTTCCTGTCACTTTGTGGCTACTAATAACTGTCAGTGTGAACGGCCATTTAGAAAGGATATGTTTTAAATGAACTGATCTTTGTTTGTTTGTTTCAGTGCGGTGTTTCCCTGGACCAACCTGCTGGTGGTGGTCGTGGAGCTGGAAGGTTCAGAACAGGAAGCACTGGACCTGGTTCCTTTGGTGACCAACGCGGTCCTGGAGGAGCACTACCTGATCGTAGGCGTGGTGGTGGTGGTGGACATTGGCGTCATTCCCATCAACTCTCGCGGAGAGAAACAGAGGATGCACCTGCGAGACGGCTTTCTAGCCGATCAGCTGGACCCCATTTATGTGGCATATAACATGTAGCATGAGTGTACGCGTGTATGTTTGCGTGCGTGTGTTTTGCCGACTGCACGTGACCGGTTGGGCGATCTTCCGCAAATGGACACTTACTGGGAGAAACCTTGAGAAGTGATAGCCAAGCCAAACGGCAAAACAGATTGGCAGAAGGATTCGGTCTCCTGAAGGGAAGAAGAATCGCCTCTGCTTCTGCTTGTGTGCGCGTCGCTTTGTTTTCACGTGAGGTGTTGCAACATCATTTTTATTCCGCCCTACGTGAGCGAAGGGTATTTTAAAATATCTGCATACTATGGCGAAATGTGCGTTTTAGATTTCCCGATTATTTGGAGTAACTTGTTGAAAGTAGATGCGATATCACACTCTGGACGCCATTTCTGTCCGTTCATTTGAAAAAAAGGTACAACGCCAACTTGTTACATTTGTACGTACGTTGCAGCGGTCCTTCAGCAACTTGCCGGTTTAGTTTTTCAAACTTTGTAAATGTTCTCGAACAGCGGGAAGCAAAAACGAAGAAAAAACGTCCCCTGCTTTTTCGATTCCTCCATGTTTAATATCATTGTACAAAGCTGAAGGTGAACACAAAGTCGGTTGATATTGTGTAATTATGTACAGATAATAGTTCTTATTTATTTTGTTCTTTTTTGAATCGGTGGGCGAAGACATTTGGAAATGTTTTCCTCATTAAATAATATTGCTGATATAAAACATTGTATCATCTTGAGTGAGTAGTATCACATCAAGTCTATGTAAAAATATAAATATACGTACAAATATATATAAAAAGGAAATATATATATATATAAAATAAGATCTACAAATCACCAGTGAAACATTTCTAATGCAGTACTTCCCATTTGCATGGTGTCTGTTGTAGAGAGAATCAACTGACCGAGCGGACGGTTAATAATACGAACTCATAGGACTTTGAAGACGATGTCAAACATGCGGAACCAATGCTTCAGTTTTTCTAATTGAAACGAAATCGCTGCGCCCTTTCCGAGAGAAAACGAACCCTAAAAATGTGCCTGGAATTGTTTACATTTTGCTTTTATGACTCAAATCTGCATCGCAATTTGTTACGTTGTTTTTATTTGCTCGGATTGAATTTTTTACTTGTTTTGTATCATTTTTCTGTGTGATTGCATCATTATTTATTGACACAGGCTTTTACACAAGTGCGTTTTTGTTTACCGCTCAAACACCACAGATACCATTCGTGAGCGTTTGAATTTTAATTCAACACAGATTTAGGTATTTTCATAACACAATATTTTACGTTAATGCCTCACAGTTTACTTTCAACCCCGATCAGCTCACGTGAAATGGATTAAGCCCTTGTTTTTAATCGGTTTATGTGGGGAATACATGCTAAATAAACGCTGGCATATTGTTGGCACATGCAATATTGGCAAAGCATGAAACATGACCGACTGGCTATAATAATGCAAACAATAGCGAAGAGAGGAAAAAGAAGCGTGCCATCATTCTTCATTGTACCAGCCACATTAGAAGGGACGCGTTTTCGGAACTCCTTTTCATAGCACTGGCAATCCGTTAAATCAACATGACAAAACGGAGTATTCTGGATTTTCTTTTCTTTTCCACATCCTGCCTCGGCGATTGATAATACGGCAGGCGTCACAGACAAAATCGCGGAGATCGTCTCAGGTTACTTATGTAACCATGGTTCCCTGAGTAGGGAACGAGACACTGCATCCTCTAGGGGTCGCTATGGGGAAACCTAGAGGACGCAGTTCGAAGTTCCCATGAAAGGGAACGTCTCAGGTTACTTATGTAACCATGGTTCCCTGAGTAGGTAACGAGACACTGAGTCCTCTAGGTTTCCCCATAGCGACCCCTAGAGGACGCATTTCAAAGTTCCCATGAAAGGGAACTACTGCAGTCAGATATCAGCACCCTCTGGCTTCATTGAGGTCTTGGTTTATTTATCACCTTTTATTTTACTTTGGAATCGGTGTCATAGATGTCAATACTGTGTATGGGAACTGAGTTTACACTTATTCAGAGAGTGACGATGCAATGTTCTCTTTTTTTTTTTGGTCCGTTTGTTTGTTTTTTTAAAAATGAAGGAAAGAAGTCTTAACCTGTTCGGAAGCTTTAGTGTTGCCATTCCCATACAAGCGGAAATGTTTCCCCATTCTGAAAAGAAAAAAAAATGTGCACATAACTTTCAACCTGTGAAGTTATTTCCCTTTTTTGTTGGAAATCTGGACTTACGTGAGAGAGTCTGCATGTTGTATGTAAATATTGTTGGTTAGAGAAAAAAAAGACAACAAAACTAAATTTATTTTGTATGGTGCAGGTGTGTTTGAAATTCTGTTTTGTACACATGATTAAAAGTATTAAATTACACTTTTATAGAAGCCTGCTTTGGCCTACGTTCACAAAATATGGTGCAATAAAGTGCTTTGATTTGTAAATTTGTCTCTTTAAATTTGCGAGACAAAAAAAACATTGCAAAACTACCACCGGTTGATATGTTTTATTTATACATAGTACTGTTACATAATGTAATGCAAGAAAGGGGAAGCTTTAACACCACATTTTAATTCGTATGCACATGAAAGACAGGTGTTCTCGCTGGGTGTCGGAAATTCTCAGTAGTCATTACTCTGTCCGCATAAATATAAGTTAAAAAAAAGGGTTACTTGCAATTACAAAGTGGTGTCAACTTACCCTAGAAAACCAAAAAGGAGACATACTGCATCACCGATGACACGCATGAACGTAGATTAACGCAGAGCCCAAAATAAAAGGTACACGCAACCTGGTTTCATGCACACTGGAATGGAACATATTACCGTTATATCACAAATATTTTTTTTTCCTTTACAGATCGACTTTATCAAATACATAGTTAATGTGTTCATGAAATGTACATATGCTAACGTGCAAACGTCATCAGTCACGGTTAGCGGCAAACAGTTATTTACATGTAGTGCAACAGTAAGGTTGGGAAGGGAGGGAGAGAAAGAAGGAGAAATAGGGCAGGACAGAAACCTGGATGTATCAGATGTGATTTAAGACGCATCCAGAACTTCAGAGAGAAACAGAATACAAGTTCACGCAGATATGGATCGGTGCAAAAACATTAGAGAAGAACCTCATGTTCCTCTACATCCTTCAGCTGATTGGTTCTCCCGGTCGACATAGACAAATCTCAAAAACTCTCTAAAGATAGATCTGACCTCATTTGTACTTAATTTGTTATTGCAATAATTAAAGGAATAACAATTCACCTAAAAATTCAAATTGTCATTTACTCAGCCTCGTATTGTTCCAAACTGGTTTGACTGATGTTCTGGCGAAAAACACAAAAGGAGACGTTTAGCCTAGTGTCCAAGCTGCTCTTTTTCACACAATGAAAGTGGATGCGGACCAGCATTTAAGAAAGCCATACAGGTTTTAACCATTTGAGGGTGAGTAAATGATGGCAGAATTTTATGTAAACTATCCTTTTAACTTTTCTCTTGGATCAAAAAGTGCCACGAAAGGTCATTCTTAATGATAAAACCCTATAGCGATAATTTATGATTGTTTAATTTACACTGATCTCTGTACAATCTGATTAAAGTTTGCTATTTAACGGGATCTTGACAAATTTCATTCTGTCTGGGAGCACTGGTAACGAATTTGCCCACACTTACAAATCTCACTAAAGATCCCACTCGGCAAAGATTTAGTACACTTAAGCTACAGAAATGGACCCCCAAAATTAGCACATAATTTAGTTTTTTCGTTAAAAATTAAAAGGCCTATTTTAAAGTGTAACCATGAAATGAAATGTGCATATTCATTAATGGAAGATTGTATCATTCAGACAGACATGATCTGCCATCTTTAAACCCTGTTCCCAAAAAAAATGACACATCATAACCACTGATAAAAACCAACCGTCGAGTTTAAAAGCACCAACTTCACTCAAATGCAGGAGGCTGACATGATTCGCTTATATAAAAAAAGTCAAATATCTACATAGCTTCGGATTAAGTTGTGTTTAAAAAGATTACTAGTACTTCACATTTCAGCTAGTCTGTATGCAAGCAAGGCTGATTTCCGTCATACAGCAAATAAAAGGGTAAAAACAAAAAGGAATACGCAATGAGATACCGTTACAATCCAAACATAAAACCATCTCCACAAGGATCGTGAAGTCCATCGCTGGCTGCCCTGTTAGCGTTCACCGCAACTCAGCAAAATGTTCTGGTAAAAGTGTTCTAAGAGCTGGGGTTTAAAATGCTGGCTAAAAAAAATCAAGAATCCACGGACGGGTGGGTGGGGAGCGGTAAAATCTATCCAATAGCGTGGCTCGTGGATGGGTGCAGTCGAGAGGAGGGGCGTGGCCAGCTGCAGCTCATCTCTTCCGGCGGCAGGTACGTTTGTGATCGGCGTGCCAGTGCTCCTGCTGGCATTTGATGGAGCAGTACGACGTGTTCCAGCAGCAGTGGTACATCGCCTCTTCTTCACAGTTATAACACTGAAAGACAGAATAAAGAGAACAATGAGACTTGCACACAAGAAAAATATACTCATGGATCATCAATCTTATTGGTGCATTTCCTACTGAAAAATAAATAAATAAAAATACAGTCTGCTTCTCTGTTGAAGGGGACATTCTCATTCTAGAGAGCAACTGATTGGACAAAAATCTGTGAAGTGCGGAAAGAGTCATTATCTTAGGTTTGTTTTCCCAGTAGAAAGACAAAAATGCTAAAAATGAGTTTTTGTCAATGTTTAGGAGCACAATAGCATATAGATTAACCTCAAAGCTAACATGTGGACTAAAAGCCACACAACTCTTATTTTGAGAGGTTATGTTTAGAACTGGGGGTGGGCAATGACCTAAATCTTGTCATTTCATAATAACAATATCACGATATAGTTATTTTGCTAGAAATAAAGTTACAATTCCAATAAATGTAACAATCTGCTAGCAGAAACTAATACCAGACTAACTAATATAAGAAAAAGGGTTTCAAGCAATTAGACAACACCTTTTTATTTATTTTTTTCATTGTGAAACAAACATATTTAGGGATATATTTATCCCTGTTAGGGATGGGCGATACCCCTTATTTTGTTTTCGATATGATACCGATATTTTTCAAGGCAGTATCGTCGATATCGATTCGATACTTCTGCACTAAACTTTTAAATTATGAAATGTATTAAATTATTAAATTACTAAGAGTAAAATGGGTAATGACTTTGTTTAAAACGCATTTTAACCCGTTTAATCCCAAATTTTTCCCAGACATGAAAATATCCAAATGATGCGTCATTAGTAACCCTTTGAAATAAATCAATTTTTTTTTTTGGGGGGGAAAAGTGTGTGAAAAATTTTATTCACAATTGTAACCAGTGGGATAATGTGTATACTGAATTAACATATTTCTGCAGTCATAAACATTTTTATATATCTTAGCCCAGCTATTTTAAACTGTTTGATCACATTCTAGGGTTACTATTATGCATAAAAAAAAACCTTATACAACATTGATAGGAATACTGAGATCAAATACAAAAAAATACAACCATCAACGCATTTCAAAATTATTACTTTTTTGTAACATATATCACATTTTTATATTAGTGCTACCAGTATTACAACATTAATATTCTAACTCATTTGTAACATTTGAACTTTTGATTTAGTGCAATATTTTGTACTGCCATAAGGGACTGCCAGTGACCGGCTGTTGCATGCATAAAATGCAACCTTTTTATTCTGACAGTGTATGATTTCTATTAACATTACAGAATAGAACATGATCAATATCTTTCAACGTTCAATTTAAATAATTGTAATTGCACAAACTAAGTAGGCTACAATTTCAGTTTGTTTATTGTGAAATAACTCTGTTCTTCTGTCCTCTGATAAGCATTGTTCAGTGCTGCTGTTCCCAAAAGCTTTAATGCTTTCTTATGATACTTTTGGGAAACACAGCCCTGTTTGAATGCACTGTCAGCAGTGAGTGAACGCTCTCTGTGATGGATTGGTTCTGTGTCTTGTAACATTTGCGTGTTCAGATGAGCAGGAAAATTGTTCTATCCTACACAATTACTCGCTAACAAAGGTTATTCGTCTAATTCAATGCATATTGTACGCATTATTATTATTATTTTTGTTAAATAAACAAAACCACTGGTAAATAAAGAGCACTTTAGTATCGATATTTTTTGTTTGAGTATCGATACTTTCGATACTCAATACTTCGATACAGTATCGATATATCGGATCGATACGCCCATCCCTACTTCCTGTCCGTGTGCAAGTGATGAATGCAGTTCTTTATCGGAACAATGTGCTTTTATCAACAAATTTTAATATCAAGGTCATCCCGCTCTTTATTTTCTCATTCATCCACGTTTGATGAATACAGCGATATAAACAACATAGCAAAATCACGACTATATCACGTTCTACTGGATAAAATCATGGTTACCTAGCCAAAAGTTATCGTGTCAGACCCATATGGAGAGCAGCAAAAAATCGGGTGGTGACAGTTTTCTCATTAATGTGTCATTAATCAGGTTAACCAACTAAATTCAACTGAGTTCATCTACAGCGGTATAATACAACCCCAGATCACATTATTGACTCAGACAAAAATTGTTCTTCATTTCCTAATTCTGCC